GAGAGAGAGAGAGAGAGAGAGAGAGAGAGAGAGAGAGAGAGAGAGAGAGAGAGAGAGAGAGAGAGAGCTCTGCAGTTCTACAAAACAATGGGAACGTATCAGGCTTATCAATGGTCCAGACGTTGTGAATGTGGCTCAAATAGGGGCCATATTGATAAGTCATCTTGATGAATAGGGGCCGCTTATACATCACTCAACTGCACTTGTATCAGTGCCACGTGTGTGTGCATATGTATGTTATTTACCCAATCGAACTTCAATCCACAACGAATTGACACGTTCCCATACACGCATCATGACGCATGCAATTGCAGAGTAGACTTGGAGGAGGCAAATCCACACAAAACAGGAGAGAAGATATGCACAGCCGAAGCTCAAAAGACACAGAGAATTGAAAAACAAATTTCAATTCTACAATCCCTCGTCCTCCTCCAATCAATCTAGAGTACTTGTTCCAAGAATCAAAACGGTGTTTACAACAACCCCGAACAACCAGAAACAAGTGTTCAACGAAGTATGTAGGAGTCTTCTTCTTCTTCCTCGCTGCCTCATACCCCTGGCTATGGCTGCTGTAGCAGCAGTAACCCCACAGTGCCAATCTGAACCAGCAACCCCAATGATGGCAGTGCCAGCTCAGCGCCTGCACGGAAGTGCAGCACTCGAAGTCCTCATGAAGAAGGAGACAACCGATCCAGCACCTCGAAGAAGACAAAATCGAAGTTCCTCACAAGAAGGAACAGCAGATATGGCTGCCAAGTGGAGAATGGCAGTGCCCAAACCCAACAGCACAGTCCTTTGAAAGCTCTCGTGCAGAGCTCCAAATAACAGCAGTGCGATCTTCAACTTCTTTTCCCAAGAATCCCAACCCCAGCTATGGCTGGGCTTGGAGGAAGAAGATGACCTCACCCAAAATACAGCAGCAGCGCTCCGACAACGGAAGGGCAGAGTTTCCCCAGCCAACGAAAACGTGAAAAAGACCCAAACCAAATTTCCTGGGCGCTACTTCTACCCTCTGCCTAGACCTACCACGGACTTCAAAGGCAACAACCGAATACTCATCTGCATCTAGATGGAAACGGATGGAAACAGGGAGGCTTTCTGGAAACAGGGGGAAAAGCCTCCGAAAAGGGCACCTGCCACCTAGACCTATGACAAGGCTAAAGCAAAAGGCCGGATGGCCTAAGGCTACCAAACAGAGACAACTAGTGGTCCCATAGAGCTCAACACTCACAAACAAAACACATACAGTTACAGGTCACAGGATCAAGTCCGGCAGGCTCAAAACAAGAAAAGAAACTACAAAGCCAAACCCTTAGCGTACAGCCCCACTGGGGAACTGCGATTTATTGCATGTATGGGTCTCTCTCCACTACTCTAGAAACTGGCCATTTCTTGAGCGCGGCACCGCTCCACTTACTCTAGAGTCTAGACGCCAGGTCTGGAATTCGGGTTCTTGAGCTGTCAGTATCTACTCACGAAAATGGTGAGAATCCGTCGTCGCTCCACTACCTCATGAAACACACTCACGAACATGCATTTCTTCAGTTGTCAGAACCTCCTCTCCCCTGGCACTCTTGACGTTTGGAGAGCTCCCGCCTGCAGTGGCCGGAACTTCAAGGGAGGCATCCAGGACCTTCGAAAGTTGAGCATTTTTTTGGAGTGCACCTGAAGTCTGGGCGGACAGCAACGTGCTGGCCGTGTCGTGTACCTCTCTCAAAGAAAGGTCTGACATCCGAGAGGCCTTCTTGAGTTTGACCATCTAGAGTAAGTGGAACGATGTTCTCTTTTTCAGTCGTTTCTAGAGTCTGACAGCTCTACACTCACTCTCGAAATTTTTTGAGAGTTTAGAGTAGTGGAGCGAGACCCTATGTATCGTAAGGAAATTCCTGGGGCAATCGGAATTTCCGCAGTCATTTCTTCCTATTGCCCAAGGGACCTCGCCAGGTCCCTTGTGCACAAGGAATCCGCGTTTCACAGAGAGGAGAGGGCACATGCGTAGAGAGACGTTACAGCCAAGAATCTGGATCGTGGCGGCACCCTATTGGCTGAAGGCCTGAAACACAACTGTTTTTTTTCTTTTTTTTGCTATTTTCTTTTCTGACATTGCTCTTAGGGCATGTCTATGGCCTAAATTTCCTTTTGAACCATTAGGAATTTTTCCTGTTGCCCGAGAATTTTAAAAGGAGTGTCATATGGCGCCCAATGAGATGTGAGATTGCGCGAGGAAAAAGAAAGGGAAGATTGGGCTTAAAGGTGCCCCAAGAGATCGTATAAAGGGGAGAGAAATCCCGTTTGCCGAAACAAGNTGAGATTGCGCGAGGAAAAAGAAAGGGAAGATTGGGCTTAAAGGTGCCCCAAGAGATCGTATAAAGGGGAGAGAAATCCCGTTTGCCGAAACAAGGATTCAAAAAGATGCAAAAAGGGAAGGGGGAAGAAAGTCTGGTCAGTCAATTCACGAGATATTGAAACGGTTTTCACCTTTTAGCAGTAGCGGATGCCGTACCCAGGGTTCGATCCCTAGACCTCACCCTACCCATGTACAGTATCTGTATAGATCCCGAGAATTGAACCTGTGACCTGTGTATTCGTAGACAGTTGGTAGGTCTGTCGTAGGTCCATTGGCAGCAGGGGTTCAATCTGTAGGTCTATAGCGTAGAAGTCTTAGTGAGTTCCGGAAGCTTAGCTGTAGACCTTCTAGAAGGTAGGCAAGTGGGCAAGTGGTCAAGTGGCGAGGCAAGTGGTGGACTAAACTGCAGTGCAACAGCAGTACAACGTAGGTCCGATAGCCGTGAGTCCACAGTCAGTCAGCGGAAGGTCCAGTCAGTCCCAGTCCGGTCCAGCAAGTACCACGGGGGAGGACGCAGTGGGAGAGAGAGGAGGAGTTAGTATAGCCATAGGTTAGAGGGGAGTTAGTATAGCCATAGGTTAGAGGCAGCCATAGATGCCATAGCTGTAGTAAGTAGGAAGTGTGTGTGTGTGCTCGAGTGTTCAGAGTGACGTGTATGGGATATCCAGGGTGATCCGGCGTGTGTAAACAGTGAGTTGTTGGGCGCTGAAGTCGCCATAGCCAGTCAAGAGTGAACTCAGTATCTGGAATCCATATCTCTGAATTTTGTTGGGCGCATGTCGCCAGTTGCTGCGTTGCTGTTTACATGTATGAAAAGTGTGTTTGAGAACGAGTCTGATTACAATATGGTTAACGGGAGGCCAAATATTCGCCGTTTTTCGCCGGCAATTTCGTCGAAAATTTCAAAAGCAAACGACATGGGCCCAACAGGCCAAAGAGAACGAAAAAAAAAAACAAAAAAACACTATAAAACCCTGACACAAAAACACTGTGGGAGTTAAAATGAAGCATCCAACGAATTCAATGAAATACCAACTTTTTCATTATTGATCCAAACATGTCAAAATAGGGCACATGACGTACCCTCAAGCAAATATATATCACACACAAAGAAAAACAAGAAAAAAATCGAAAAATCAGCACAATGTGACAGTTTCAGTGCAACCACGTGTGGAGAGATGGTTAGGGGGAGGCCAATGTGCCCGATCAATGAAAACCCAAGACGTAGAGTAATGAAACGTATTGGCTCAGAAAACAGCACCTTCTGGAAAGCAGATTGCTGCACTTGGATGTCTTCAGAAGGGAAATGTCAGAGATGACTAATGTTGGGCTACTCAATTCCATTTCAAACAACCAACTTTATTCTGAGTCACCTTGTTCCAAACCCCCTTCCCTCCCTCCTCTCTCTCCCTCCTCTCCCTCTCGTCCCCTTCGTGCCCTGATACCCTGATTCCAGAATTGAAGCTGCCTAGAGGCCTTAGAACCCCCCCTCTGCTCTGTCTCCATGATTTACCCTGGTCGTCTTAAACCCTTTTCTCGCTATTCCAGTCGCTGTTCGCGGCCCGGTGCGGACTTCTGATTTCTGATCTCTACAGCGGTGTGTTTACCATGAAGCAACGAAGGGAAGAGGAAAGGGAATCGGGCGGGAACAGAAGTTTTGTACGAAAACAAGTCGTTGTCTCTGGATCTGTTATGTTGCTCAAATTGAGATTTTATTTCACCTCATGAAAATACGCTGATTTTTTCTTACCTTTTTTTTAGCACATGAAATTATGTAGTCAAACCACCTAGTAGTTCCGAGGTATAACATCACCCCCGAACAAAGAGAGTGCAAAGCAGCAAAAGCACCTGGAAAGGCAGACAAAAGGCATCAAAATCATAACGAAACTGAAGAACACTTCCGCAAGGCCAGCAAACAGAGAAATCTGATTTTCAACAGTATGTCAGCTGGGTTCAGATTCCATCCATTTAAGGATTAGCATTAATTTAGGGCACCTGTGTGTTTCACTAGTTTCTATAGGTTCGGTAAGGCGAACCAGGCGTGCCTTAATCTTTAAATTTTTAACTGCCGAGTTAGACATGAGCTGTTGGACCCGGGTTCCAGTCGGTACACCTGACAACAAAGAGGATGGACCCGGGTTCCAGCCGGTACACCTGACACCAAAGAGGATGGACCCGGGGTTCCCGCTGGTAGACCTGAGCAGTGAGCACAGATAGGAGGGGTCTGTCACAAGGGGGGGTAACCTTCTTTTGGAGGATGCTCGTATCAACTACAAAAGTTGGTCCCCATCTCGGGGTGAGCCCCGCTGCCACCGTGGAATGAAAAATAGTCGACGTAAATGCTCGTTGGAGTACTGCCTGGCTTTCAGAACCCCTTTATTTAAATTTCAACTGAAAGAAAAAGAAGCGAAGGATGCAACGTACCAGATATGGAAAAAAAAAAGAAAAAAAAGGATGTAATGTAAGTTGCGTCTAGGCCGCAACACTGGTCCGGCTGACGGTTCGCCGAGCGGGAAGCCGCAGGGTTATCCCATCTACATTGGGCAGATTGGCAATCTGTCGACGAGTGTCCGACGCCAGCCCCTCTTTGAGAAAGCATACAATGCGCACATCCTGCGCGGGCTCGGCACCCAAGTTTGCAAGAACCCATCTCCTGAGGAGGACGTGAGCTCTGTCCACAGTCGCAAGAAGAGAGTGCGTGCTGTCCACAGACTCCACACCGTATGCAGGCCTGTACTCGAGAAGAAGATGTGGCCATTCACTAAAAGCTTGTCTTGCCAACTTCTCCCTCAAAGCTGAGAGCTGCATCGATAGCCCCTCTGCTGGTTCTTGACCTTGGCTATTGTTCTGAGAGTCGAAAATGGGGACGATTGTCACCTTTCGCGCTTCTCTCGCCTCTCCGCGGTAGTCAGTCATAATGTGACCCTTCTTCCAGCGCAACACGTACGAGCCGTCGATCTCGCTGGTCATGTTCGTTTCTGAACTGCCCTCCTCAGTCAAGACATACTTCGTCGTTATCCAGAGGACCTCCTCTGTACCCATAAGCTTGCGTGTTTCAGCACTCAACCAGACCATGTCGTACTCGCTGAGGGTCACATTTTCCTCTTGCCCCCCACAAAGCAACACTTTGCCCCCCCTTTCCTGGCGAATTTGCCCGCTTGGTCCCCCGCTGAGAAGGAGTTTGTCGAACAGGAGAGGGTCTCGGAGCCCCGCCTCAAGCAGGAAGCCGTCAATGGCATGCTGCCCACTAAGCAGGGCATGCCACGTGTCCGCCGTCTCGCATCCGCCGATAAGGATGCGCGTTGCATCGGCGGCCTCTGCGTTCACCAAGTCCCCAATTACACGTCTGATGTGCCGAACCACCTCCACAACTAAGTCACACGGCGCTACCCTGGCGGCCTCTGCTGCAACCGCTCTGGTTTCCGACAATGGCACATGAGATGGAGGCAGGTAAGCGATAGCTATGTTTCGGAAATTCTTGCCAATGCGACCGACAATGTCCCGGAGTTGCATTTCGCAATTGCGCTTCTCCTTCTCCCGTTCGAATGCCTCATTCTGGATTTGCATATCGTCAGAATGATCTCGTCCAAGTCGCAAGACGACCTGAAGACCGGCTTGCAGGGCGAGCGACACCTGCTCACCGACAAACTTGTTCCACCCCGAGCAGAGATTCTCTGGATCGCCTGAGCTCGTTACGGCGGGCCCTGCCTCGAGCAGGACGTAGGGGATCCCGTCCTTTGTCAAGGCGTTGGGGGTCGCCTTGAGCGAAAGGCCGGGTGCCGCTAATCCTATTCCCTCTAATCCCTCCATTTCCGCAAAACGCTCTTTTGTCTTAAGGAGGTCCTTAAGGGGCATGGAGATGACCATCTCGCAGAGCTCTGGACCCCTGCTCACGAAAAGATTATACGCGCAGTTCTCAATATCCTTGGATTTCCAGCAATCCACCACCAAGAACTTCCTTCCTGACGTTGGTCTCGCCCGCGTCGCTCCGAATGCATATTCGCACGCCTTTCGGAATTCGGCAAACCGGGAGGTTAATTCGCTGATCCCTACGCATTCACGTTCTGCCTCGTTGCCAGGCCATCCCTCGATGTCACGCTTCCATTCACATATAATATTCCACAGCCAGCGCGGGCATGCAGACTCTCGTTTCTCCACCTCGTTGCTGTACTTCTTCCATTGGCTCCTGGCGCTCATCTCTGCGATTCTCCGCTCGTGCACAGGGAGCTCCTTGGCAAGCTTCTTCCAACTATCGACCACTGGCGGAGGTCGTTGCCCGATTTTATAAAACGCAGCAAGTTTTGGAACCGATTCCTCGTCAAGTCCCATTATTCCGCATCGATCAATTTTCATCATCTCTCTACCGCTGAAACGTTTTTTCTTCTCTTCAGTCATGCTTACTATGCCAGTTGGTCTGTATGATAATGTATCACCTCTTGTCCCCTCGTGTATATCCAGATCATGTACACGATATTCTAGCGACAAACCCCACCATTGCCTACCCTCCCGTATTGGCAATGCGAAGCATGTCGGCCTCACACCGTGCTCGTAAATGTGTTGATAGGCACCATTCCGCTCTCCACGGCACGCAATGACTATGGGATGGGTCTCGATAACCTGCTCGCTGCAATCAGCAAAGAGTGCTGCCCCGCGCACAACGGCTTCGTCCTGATAAGGGTGGGGCTTTGGTTCCAAGTCAAGGTGTGTCCAAAGCATGTCTACGACCTTGGGAATGCGGGTCGACCCACCTACCAACACGACTTCCTTCACAAGGGAAATCGGAGTTTTGCTTTCCGCCAAGACTCTTTGTACGTATTTCATGCACTCCTCCAGCAAACTCTTACAGTGTTCCTCGTATTCACCGCGGCCGATGATCACCTTGCGGTCGTCATCACCGCCGAAACTCTCAGCTCCAACCTGTGTGTCGGTCATCAAGGTCAGGTCCTTCTTCGCCTTTTCGCTCGCTGTCTTCAGTTCCCGCAACGTGCTGCTGCTCAGTGGGAGAGTCCGATTAAACTGCTGCTGCACGCGATTAAGTACTAGTTCCATCATCTTGTGGTCGAAGTCCATGCCTCCGAGACTTGGATTGCCTGCCGCTGAGTTCACCCTGAGCTCTCCGCCAGTAATCGTTACCATCGCAGCTTCACAGTTTCCTCCTCCCATAGCAACTACAAGCATCTTCGTGCCGCTTTGAGTTTGTTCTTCAGGAGAAACACCAGAGCAGCAGGAGGTGACGAGTCCCTTGTGCTGCGCGTAGCTCAAAGCAGCCGACGTTGATTCGCTGACGAGCTGCACATCCGTGAAGCCTGCGATCTCCGCCGCCACCTTGATCGCCGACCGCTGCCTATCCAAGTAGAGTGCTGGAACGGCAATAACCGCGCTGTGCAGCTCGCCGCATTCGAGGAAAGTCTCGGCATCACTCTTCATCTTCGCTAGAAACACCGCGAGTACCTGCTCAGGTGCCAGGTACCTATTCTCAAGATCCGCTGTAGACCCTTCCTTGAATTCGGGTACTCCTCTTTGCTCAACTAGGAAATAGTGCATAGAAGAGGATAGCTTTTTAAGCTCATCTTCAGAATCTCTCATCAGAGAGGACAAGAGTTCGGTCTTTACGTCCAGCATAGCCTCGCCGGATTCTCCCTTAACGATGATGAACGGCCACCATTTTCTCTCCGTTTCTGTGATCGCATCGTAATCCCGTCCGATGAGGCGTCTCGCCTCGTAAAGCAAGTTTTCCGGTTTGCGCAGCAGCAGTTGTTTTTGCGCTTGTTCGCCCACCAAACACTTCTCGTCCGTGAATGCGATAACAGATGGTGTCGAGCGTCTCTCAGACACGTCCGGTATGACCTGGACCTTCCCATCGCGACACACCGCCACCCGGCAAGAAGAAGTGCCGAGGTCAATCGCTATGCGAGGTGGCGCTTTCACGTAGTCCTTCTCATCAGAAGAAGGCACCTCCAGCGGGCGAGAAGAGTCGACCTTCTCATCGGAGCACACCTCCACCGGGCAAGAAGAGCCACCCTTCTCACCGGAAGACACCTCCGGCGGGCAAGAAGAGTCCCCTTTCTCTCTGGAACCCACCTGCAGGGGGCAAATGGAGTCGCCCTTCTTATCAGAACCCACCTGCAGCTGCAAAGAAGAATCACCGAGATTAGTCTGGACTTCACTTGACTGTGAAAGCGCCGGCTGCTTACCTATTGTCTTCCCTCCGGAGCACGCCTCCACCGTGCGAAAAGAGTCACCGGGACTAGTCGGGACTGGACTTGACAGTGATTGCGCCGGCTGCTTTCCCGTTGTCTTTCCTTCCCCCCCTTCGCTTCGTTTTATTACTTTCCACAAGCGCTTGAGCGTTTTCATTTTGGACAGAAATATATTATCTCTGAGAACCCTTTCTATTGCAAGTTGCTATACGTCGTCTCTTTTCCCACTGCTCGCATGACTTTACAACGCACTGCGAGTCCACCTACTTCGGTCTCCGGCCACTTCTCATCACACCAATGCCTCTCCCCTGGCTAACGGCTGTCAAATCTTTTCTTTTTTTTTACTTATTAAACTGATCAGAAAAGATACTACACTTGATCTAAGCCAAAAGGCCGACAAAGGTATTGTCAAATCTTGTCGTCGTACCTCTATGAACTCGTCACGTTGAGCTATTATCAATACACTCCGCAATCCACGTAGCCGTACCGCTGTGCACTGGACACGTGGCAGTCGCTCGTTGTCATCCTCCTCTGCGAAAAGAGCCAGATTTGTTGCGGCCTCTTGCAGTCGCTTCTACTCCAAAAAAAAAAATTCTCAATTACTCTAGTGGAATAGGGCCGCTACGCATTCTCTCCCACCATCTCTTCCCTCCCCCCCCCCTCCCCCTCCCCCTCTCGTCATTTCAGAGGGCCAATTGAAACGAAACCACAGTACGTAGATGTCGGTGACGGACATCCGAAATGTACGGGCCTCGCTCCAATACTCAACACATGCACAAAATAATAAAAAAATTGTGGGGGCGTATCATTCCATGTTCTAGCGGAAGATTCATTCTCGTTTTGCAGTTTACGATCGAAGCCCTATGGCTCGATAAGAGAATGAACATCTTTCAAAGCCCCACCAAACGCTACCCGTCTTCGCCCGAATAGAACGTACGGTCATTATAGCTGAATTTGGGGTATCTTTCAGTCTAAATTCAGCTATAATGACCGTACGTTGTATTCGGGGGAAGACTATAGATGTTGGTGCATACGACAGAAGGCGAAGTTGAAAGTTCCCCTAATTCGTTGGGTCTTACATGGACTATCCCTCCTTCGCGATACAGCGCTATTTCACAAGTAGTCGCGACATCAATGGCCGTGCAAGCTATGTCAACAGCTGTGTGCAGTTTCCATCGTCAGTCCTCCCTCTTCTTTCTGCGCGGACACTTCGGCCTCTCCGTCTCCTACTTCATATCTCCTTTCTCTCTCTTCCAGCACACACCTCGGCCTATTCAAGAACGAACTGCCTATTGTAGAGGCAGGGAAAATTACGTATTTCCTAACATTTGAGATAAACAGATAAAACAGCTGGTGAATGCATGGCCACTCAGGTGTCCCCTCTACTCCTGGACCGTTCTCTACGTTGTCGCCGGTACTCTTTCTCCTACTCCCTCTCTCTCTTTTCCTATCCTCGGCCTTGCCTTCGTCTGACTGCCGAGAGCTCTTGAACTAGGCCACTCAGCTGCCCCCTCTCCAGAAAATATCAGACCCTTAGGATTGGTACTCTCTGTAAAAATCACAAGGCATATTCACCCCCCCCCCCTCTCTCCATTTATCCCTCTCCTAGTCCCTTCCCTTCCTCAGAAACTGGTCAACGATTGCTACGGACCAGATCTCCGCAACTCCGAGATCGGTCTCTGCCCTTTCTTTGACTGGATCTCCATGTCGCATCCTCCTTCTACCGTCCTGTATATCCGCCCCTCTCTCTGCCCGCACTTCTTTCTCCCCCCGCGATTCCTCCCTCGGTACCCTTTTCCGCCGACATTCTCCGCACCTGGATCCTTTCCATACTTAATCAAGGTTAAACCTTGCGATAAACTACGCGCTCACAGAAACCTGAAAGTATTAAATCCGTACTCATCATCAAACCAGCTGGCCTACCTTCTTCCCCCAAATACAGCGTACGGTCATTATAGCCGCATTTGGGGTACCTTTCAGTCTAATTACAGGTATAATGACCGTACGCTGTATTCGGGGGAAGTAGGCAGGTCAGTTGCTACACCCCTGAACTGTTGAAATACAGGCCTGAGCTCGAACTCCACTGAGAGCCGATCACTACGGGCCAAATCCCACTGCCAAAGAGGATTGCAATAAGTGTCTGAATCTGGACGTGTTCCACACACAGATGCAGGAAAGTAGATCAACCACAATTTTTCGCACCTGACCTCCAACACGTCCACATTCAGACAATTACTACAGTCCTCTTTGCCGGTGGGATCTCGCCCTAACATACCAAAATTCTGAGCGACGACCAACATACTACAATGCTGAACTACCTGGGGCCGGTCAGCTCGACCAACATACTACAATGCTCAAAATCATTGCCCTTTTTCAAAAAAAAACGAAAGAAAAGAAAGATACTTATCGTTAGATAAAGAACTCTGTGTGTCTCAAATATCTGAAACGAACAAATTTATACCTATCGTCAGAAGAACAACTTCAGGAACCGATTCATATCGCCGCTTCCTGTGCTCCTAGAGCGAACGCTGTGGCTCTCGGCTTTCGCTGGGCGACCTCAACAGCGTCATGAACAGATCAAACACTTCTTCGCAAGAACTTTCTTGGCACAATCCGGGGCGTCGGACTTCCTCAGTCTCGTTTCACAAACACCAACCGAAATCACTCGGCAACCGCATGATAAAGGCCGTGACCTGTCGGGATGTGATGCACTCAGGGAGCGACGATGCTGCAGTTGCTTTTGTCTCGTGACGGTCGAAACCCCTGCGGCGGAGAAGAAAACCACAAGTAATCTGTGCGGACAAAGGTAATATATTACTGTTCCATCCTACCCAGAATCCTTTATCTACTACTCCCAACTGTCGCCCACGTACAAGCGCAAGTGCACACTCGCACCTGCACGCACACACGCACCCACCCACACACACACAGACACACACACAAACACACACACAAACACATGCGCGCGCGCGCGCTCACACGCACACACAAACACACAGAGTCAGCATGACATAGGAAGAGGGGCAACTGGGCGGGATTGGGAAGGGGGGGAAGACGAGGGACGCTGGGAGGGGGGGGAGAGAGAGAGAGAGAGAGAGAGAGAGAGAGAGAGAGAGAGAGAGAGAGAGAGAGANGAGAGAGAGAGAGAGAGAGAGAGAGAGAGAGAGAGAGAGAGAGAGAGAGAGACAGACTCACAAACTCACAGAGATAAACAGCGGCAGACAGACAGACAGACGCACACACACACACAAACACACAGAGGGAACGCACATGCGCGTTTCTCTCAGAGCACTCATTGCTTGAAGAATCATCTGCACGAATACGTATTCATCAATATCCCTGTTGCAGAATCTCTCGCCTTTGGATGGCTCCAGAGCAGTCAGTACTCAAAGCTAAGTTCGTTGGCAAACACAGTGCGATTTGTTAGGGCGTGCGAGATTATCCGCGATGGTTTGCTGAGGAAAAGACTTTCACCGCACCGCAATAAAATTCGCACCGTGAGCAGAACACGGCGATTAGTCTGTGTGACGAGTTCCACCGCAATAAAATTCGCCGCATCTCATCGCATAGAGAGCATATCGACAGGGCGCCTGACGACGGAGCACAGAGAAGCGCGATGCATTGGGGGTTGAGGACGCGCGCGCATTCCTTGGTAGATCAATGAACAAGCCGTCAGGAATGTTGTCTTACTGACTGATTCACGGATTAATTGGTTAACTGACTGATTGATTGCCAAATGGATTGATTGACAACAAGATTGATAGACGGATAGATTAATCCGTTCATTAATTGATTGAGTGATTGATGGATTGATTCGATCAATTGAGTGATTGATTTGACGAATGGATTGATTCATAAACTATTTGATCGATTTATTGATGGCTGGATTAATTGATAGATGGATGGATGGATTGATTGATTGATTGATTAATAATATTATTGATTTGTTGATTGAATTGGTCGATTGATCTATGGATATTGACTTATGACTTGATTGATTGGTTGATTTAATGGCTGGATCGACGGAGTGATGCCCTGTTTCATTGATTCATTGATTGATGGAGTGATTGATTGATGGAGCCATCGAATGATCGAATCCCCGTTTTTTAGTGTTTCCCAGAAAATATACCCTCACAACCAAGGCATTTCGGAAAGTAAGTATCTTTTCGATCAAAGACGGAATTTCTGCCTTGAAATTATAACAATAAAAAAGGTAAGCCTGCCATGAAAGCTTGATAGATTGATTGATTGATTGATTGATTGATTGGTTGGTGGAGTGCGTGATTCGGTGATAGAGTGATCGATTGAGTGAGGATGATTGACTCCGGGATCAATTACTTGATTGCTTGCTGGCTTGATTGATTGATTAATTGATTAATTGATTAATTGATTAATGGAGTTTGTGATTCGGTGGTTGATTGAGTGATCGATCGAAGCGGCTGATTGACTCAGGGATCAATTACTTGATCGATTGATCGATTGATTGATTCATTCATGGTGGATGGATGGATGGATGGATGGATGGATGGATGGATTGATTGATTGATTGCGCGGGTGTCTGGTATGTCGGTTGATAGTTCGATCCCTTGCTTGGTTGCCTCTGAAAATGGCTGTACAATTACGAGATAAGAGATTCTACTACGTAGTAGATAGGACCGAAGAGGGCAGGACAAGGAGGAGGAATGAGGAGCAGAAGGGCAAGAGAAGAGCTACAGGGGCATAGATCGTATGACCGGAGCAAGAGAGGAAGCTCAATGAAATTGAACGGACACAGAGAATTGTGATATCTAAATCGCATCCGGGCGGAGCGAGTAGCAAAGCATAAGCGCTTCATCCCTGGGGCGAGAAACCACGGCCAGATATCTATCTTCTTTTTCCCCCCCTTTTGAAAGAGCGACGGCCTTGGCATATCATCGCGGATATGACAGGCCCCAGGTCATTCAGAAACTCAGGTAACCAATTTCATCAGGATTTGAGCTCACGTCTGTACTTCAACAGTTCATGGGTGTACCAACTGAGCTCGGCCCGTGGGTGCGCAGATATCCATGGCTCAATCCACCAACTGAGCTCGGCCCGTGGGTGCGCAGATATCCATGGCTCAATCCATCCATCATCCATCAAATCGAATCAATAACCGAAAATTGACAAGAGGAGGTCATCTATCAAGAAAAAATGCATAGACAGAAGAAGAACTACGGATTTGTTTGGATTGTTGTGAAACTCGTCG